AGGTGCGCTCGCGCCGTACGGTGGGAGCATTGGAGAAGGAACCCGTACATGAGGAATCCAGGGCCTGGAGGCCGATGGAGCTCCAATCGAGGCTTGGCCGTGGATATCACCGCCGCCCTCATCGGACAAGGAGCCCTCCAGGGCCTGACGCCTCCAGGACACGTTCCTTCACCAACGCCCCCCCCCGGTGTCCTGATAGCACGTCCATCCCTTCCCACTGCGCTGATGTGTGTTTGTTTCTCGCTCCGCGGGCGCGGGCCAGGGCCGCCCCGGAACTCCCCCAAAACAAACCCATCGTGGCATGCGCGATCGGAAGGGGGGGGCTGCGTAGATAGGAGGAGGAGGAGGAGGAGGAGGAGGAGGAGGAGGAGGAGGAGGAGGAGGAGGAGGGTAGATCACGGTAGGTCAAAACATGGAGCGTGCTCCCTCGCAGCCTGCGACAGCCTTAAAGAACAGCAGCTTTCCAGGAAGCCCGGAGTGCTCACCACTCTGGACCGACGGAGGCATCCTCAGGGCCCGCATGTCAGAAGCCTTTTGGTGCAGGCTCCCGGCGGCACCATTCGACCGCTTCCCGTGGATCAGAAACGCCATGCAACGCAGCGACCCTATACACATCCAGAGGCTCAGGGACATTTAACCCGCAGGATGTTCCAACAAGCCTTGACCTGGAACCAGCATCAGAAATGCTCAGCTTCCCCACACACTGAGCTCAACCCTCCAAGGACGGTGGCAAGTCCTGGGTGCGTGTAACCTTTGCAGACATCCGCCAGGCCCGACCCAGGCCTATGCAATGGAGGCCAGACCACAAGAAACCTTCCGCAAGAAACCAAACCCTGAGACCCCAGGGCGTCCATGGATTTTCTGGTGCGGAAACGCCACGCTTCCCATGGCAAAACCGTCGAGACCCAAGAACCCAGGGCACCCTGGAGGCAAGCAGAGTGCCTCTTGGCGTGGGCCTCCCCTGTAGCTCTTCCGCACATCCGCACCACGGCCAGTGCAGAACAAGACTCCCAGACCCCCGACGTCATGAATTTTTCATGACGTCGACCCCCAGCGGTCTGGACCCATCCCCCGGGACCGGTTTTTCATCCTGAGTCGTTTTTTGACGGTCCTGAGGGCCGGTAAGGGCCCCCAAAGGCCAAAAACAATGAAAAACCTCCCGTCGTGATTTTTTGGGTCTGGGCTGGCGGATCCTCTCCCGGCCCGATGTCCCTGGCCTGCACGGCCTCGCGCCCCCGAAGCAGCCAGGGTTGCAGCCGGGCGCCGTCGCGCCCGGCGGCGAGGCTCTCACCCCCGCCGGGGACGCCTGCGCGGGGGCCGCGCCGCAGCAAAGCCCGGCTGCGCTTCTGCTGCTCCCATGGTACTCGAGGGCCGAATCCCAGAACCAAAAATCGAGCACCCGGAAAAGTGTCGAACAGGCGTGCAACGAGTAATTCTCGCCTCCCAGTGCCCGGCACGCGCAAGCCCTCCAGCTTCAGTGCTTTCTTGGTGTTCGAGATTCTTCCCGGCGATCAAGGCGAAAGTGAGTTGGAACATCCAACATCAGGCTGGGAACGCGATCCGGCGCCTAAGCCTGTCGCGCGCGTCGCAGCCCGCCGCCCACTCGCTCGCCAGGTCGGCCTCGAGCATCGACTCGTCCACATCGAGATCTGACGCGACGTCCGACGCGCCGCCGACGCCGCCGGCGCCCTGGAAGCCGGCCACGCGCATCCACGCGCGCAGCCAGCCTCGCCAGGCAGCCGCTTGCTCCAGACATCGGCCAAAAACCCGTGTGCTTCCGGAGCTCCCCGCCACGGAGCGCCTTTCTCGGCCCGCCCCTCCGCGAGGCGGTGCCCCCGAAGTTCCCAGAGATACTCGAGAGAGGCGCGGCCTCCTGGAGGGCCCTGTGTGCCTCGACCTCGTCCACCGTGGCAAAAGGCTCCGCTCTGGCCCACCAGAGCTTCCACATGGGCCTTGGCCGAATTCATGGCGCAACCCGCAGATCCAGGAGAGCCGCTGAAGACTTCGAGCAGCGCTCCCGAGTCGCCCTCCTCCGAGCGCGCCTCCGAAGACCGCGCCCAGCATGGGGAGCGCGCAATCCCCCCCGCCCCGAGCCCACTGCCCGGGCGCCCAGCCCCGAAGCACCACCCCATACATGCAGGCGACGAAGTTCCCGACCGGCCTGCCTTCCGACACGAGCCGTGCTTCGTGCTGCAGGCAGGGCCACCGACGAAGCTGGGCCGGGGCCCTCCCGGGAGCCGCCCGGGGACAGAGCTCCGACGAGGCGCGCCCCATGCTCCACAATGGAGCCTCGGGCTGCCCGCTCAGGGGAAGGGAAAGGGCCACGTGCAAATAATTATAACTCCGCATCATCGTCGCCCAAACCAGCCACTCCACTCGCTTGGCCGCCGCGCCCAGCTCCGGAAGCATCTCCGCACGTCTGAGAGCCGCTGTACAAGGGCAACTGTACAAGGGTCCCGCGGCTTCTACAAATCCTACACTTCTCGGAGAGAGCTCTACCGCGCCTCTGGAGGCCCCTGGGTACCCGGGATCATGCTACGCACGAGCTCCTTCTCATGCTCCCCAGATCCTCCAGAAGCTTTCCCGAATGCGACTCACCCCTGTGGTTTCCGATCGAGCTCAGACCTCCAGCACTTGTACCCACTCCACGCCACAAGGTCCGAAGCGGCAACAGCCATTCGCTTAGCGGCCGCCACAGCTCGACCCAGGCAGAAAAACAGGTGGTCCACAGCCGCACCAAACGGGCCCACCAGCTCCGTCGCCGGTCGCACGCCAGCTCCAGCACGCGCCAGGGAGAGCAACGGAACCCGAGCTGGAGTGGCGCCCTGCGTCCATGGAGACTACGCCCGAAGGATGCCCCGGACTGCCCGAGCACAGACCCCGAATTCAGGCAACTCCGGAAGCGACGTCTCCACGCGCATGGCCCAAGCGCGCCAGCCTCCACCACGGCCCCTCCGGAACCCTCGACGCATGGCGCGCGCAGACGCAGTCCTGGGCCGGCCCCGGCCGGGGGCCGGCCCTCAGCTCGCAGAACCGCGGCTCTCAGGCCGTCGAGCTCGAGATCGGCCGGCGCCGTCGCCGCCGAGAGCCCCAGGCCGCGGCGGCCGTCGGCGAGCTCCTGGAGAGACCCGCTCCACCGCAGCACCAGCGCCACGCAGAGCGTGCACGTCCTGGGCGGCTGCCTCCGCCTTGGCCGGCCTCCTGTTCCGCTCCGTCGCGCTGCGTTTGGCGCCGGCGGAGCCGTCGCCTCCCAGGCGCCTCGCACCCCTGGGCCGCCCGATCTCGCCATCCCAGGCCTGCCTCCTCCAGAAGCTCGGCGAGCTCGGCGTTGCCCGTGAGCCATGCGGTCTTGTCCCAGTTGACTAACAGCTCCCTCTCAATGAGCCCGTCCACGAGGAAGCGCAGAGCGCCCGGCAACTCTTTGGCTACGAGCCTCATCGTGCCCGGCGACGGCAGCAACTGGTCGCCCACCAGCGACCGCGCGCGCGCCAGAGGGAAGCGCCCCCCCTGCTCGACCAGCATCGCGTGCACCATGAGCTTAGAGCCACGCCCAGGGCGCCAGCGCAACCGGCCCCCCTATCGCCCCGTTGGTCCCGATGGCCACGCCCGGCGCTCCTGCGTACCGGGCCTGCCTGGGGAGCCTGTAGGCGCAGTGGAGCGCCGGAAGCAACGGGAGTGGGAAGCGCGCACTTCGCGCTTCCCTACAGGAGGAGGGCGTGCGACACGTACTCGTGATTTTTGCTAAGGTCCAATACCCAAATAATTAAAGAATACCCCAAAAATAATCCCCATACTTTTTTTTCCTATTTTACAGGCCCGACTTAAAGCTACCGGGAGAGCAGCGCATAGCGGGGCCAGCCCCTGCGCAGCACGATCGCCCGCAGCGCTGCGGCGCGCCGGCACGCCGCCGCAGGCCGGGCCCGACCAGCGACGGGGCTCTGGCGTTGCACTGGCCCCGAGCTGGCTCTGCCGCTCCACGGCGCACGGCGCGCGCTGCTCCGTCGTGCCGTCGCACCTGCCCTGTCTGCGGTTTCGTCGGGCCTGTCCCCCTGCAGGGGGGTTTTTGGACGAAAAATGAAACATAGTCAAAACATGCCCCAGAATGGCGAAAACACATTCGGAAAATTGTCCCCAGACTATTTTTCGACTATTTTTGAAGACTCCTCCTGCAGAGGGACAAGCCCGACTTTTGAGCAGGGACCGACCATCCCGGCATTCTTATAGTCCTACCACGACATGTTCTTAGAACCCAGCAATGTTCTAAGAACAGAAACAATGCTCTTAGTACATGAACCCGATGTGTGAAAACAAGACAGACTCAACCAGAAATGTTCTAAGAACATTTCGTGGAAACCACAAAAGGTTCCTAGAACATTGTTCGGTAGGGCTATAGGCGAGCCAGGACGCTTCGCCACCGCTTGACGAGGCAGTCCTTCGCCCGCTCGAATCCTCCGCCCGGCTCGCGGCGTGCAGATCGCACGGCAGGCCCCCTGAATCCCAGGGCCAGGCTTATGTCGGGCGTGTCCCCCTACAGGGGGATTTTCGACGAAAAATACAAAAAACAAAACACTCCAAAAAGGTCAGACAATATTCAAAACATAGTCCCCAGACTATGTTCGGATTATGTTTGGACTATTTTAAAAGTATTTTTTATTGTTCGTCGAAAATCTCTTTGTAGGGGGACAGGCCCGACTTAAGGCCAGGCCTCGTCCTCGACCTCCCTGGGCGCTGCCCGCGTCGGCGGGGGCAGGGCGACGGGGAATGGGGAATGCCTCCGGGAGGTAGGGGAACAGGCAATGACATAAACATAAAAACTCGGAGGTACGCGCGGATTTCTCGGATCGGCGCTGGACCCCCCTCCCTGGCGCGCGGAGCGCGCCAGGGGCGGCATCGGAGGCGCCGCCAGGGGGCTCCAGCGCCGATCCGAGAAATCGGCGTGGACCTCAGAGTCTTTATGTGTATGTCATTGTTTGTTCCCCTAGGAGGGGCGCTCTCGTCAC